ATGAGAGACCATTCTTGTGAAGAACTTTGGTTGCTTGGTGTTTCTGCAAACTGGAAAACAAACAATCAAGACTTAAATGTATCAAAGCAGAAGAAAAGTGAGAAAGTACCACCGCATATCTTTGGATTTTTTAAATGTCGAAATGTGCTTACAGTGCAAACCGTAGAGCCCTGTGCTTTGTCAGAAAGGAATGTAGAGTTGCTGTTGAGCCTGAGTACAATGTTACTTACTTAAGAGTAACTAGGGCAACCTAGCCAGATGGGTGGGGTATAAATAATGAAATTATTATTAGTAGTAGAAGTGGGAGGTGGTCTTGAGACAGCTTCACAAACAATAGAAAATGATGTTTATAGCCTCTATGGGGGAGGGCTTAGTTATTATAATAACTGGAAACACAACCATAGCCCCAGTAAAAGGACAGGGCGCTCTGTTGTCATCTGGTCACTACACTGGTATATCTTTGAATTCCACTATCACAAGTAGATTCAGTAGCAGCTCTACCCTCTTAGTGCACATTGTGGCTATTGGGTTACTATGTTCACAGTGATTGTTTCAGAATAGTTGTGAAGACTACAAGATTGCAGCAATAGAATTTCAGCAGTAATATTATGACCTTTTAATTTTAAATACCCCCAGTCTCATGATGGAACTGTTGGAGATTGGGGGAAATAATTGTTTTTTAAAAACTTCTTTTTAACACCTTTATCTGATTACACTCTTTTGTTAGCTTAGAACTGTGTGTATGTGTTTATAGCAGTTATAAATTCCTAAAGATAGGGTTTTTTAAGGTGAAGCTGACAGGGAATTAACTGTAATAGCTCAATCATGTGATGCCATCATGATTCTGTTACCCTGAAAAGACATCACTTTCTCTTTTAAACAAATAATAGACTGTGTAAAAAGATACAATAGTTGTTTGCTCTGCAGAAAATGACTGCCATAAATATGGAATGTGTAATTTTATAGGCTACCTAAAAGCACGATTTGTACGTTATCAAAAAGGTGATTTGCATATACTTTGTTGAAAGAAATCTGTTGCTAATATTATTCGGAGGTTTTTTAAAAAAGGATTGTGCAGCAATAGGATAAACATTTCATATTTTAAATTATGTAGAAAACTATATGGAGCTTTTGGAGTGTAATTATTAGTACATTTTAAAATATAGCTTCTATTTCCCAAGCTTTGTGCTCATATTAAAAGATGTTTTAGCATATCTGCAATTAAAAAATATAGCATGCTATGTTTGCTATTTCGTCTTCTGTTTCCTTTGTAACATAAGCATTTCAGTTTTCACATTAATCCCCAGATTTAATACTGTGGTTTCTTCAAATCATTCAATAATATGCAAAGCTGATCCATTCAGGCAGAGTGTATATGTACAGTGAATTGCAGGGACACTGCAATGCCTTGGGTCTCTTATCAGAAGTTTCCATAGAGCCTCATCTAATAATGGAATAATGTTTCTCCCTAAGACTTTCTTCCATAGCTTATATGTTGTTACTACAGTTCTGTCAATGTTAGAATGCTGTGCTTTAAGCTACAGTGTAAGTTTAAGGCTTTGGTTGTATGCCACATTTAAGAAGACTAAGAAGAGCCCTGCTACATTAGACCAAATATTCATCTAGTTTACCACCTTGCATCTTATGTCCCTTAGACACTTAGAAACAGGACATGAAAACAATAGTCCTTGGACTTTCTTCTCAATAAACATGCACAGAATTAGTCTGTGAGTATGTTAGACAGAGCTGAAATATTAACTTACTCACACACACACACCCTGACATCCAGCCAAAAACGGCACCCATGTTGACTTTCAAACAGTTGAGATCTACTATAGAAATACAGTATCAATAACAAATATTTCCGGTTGTTGGGATACGGGTATGTATGTGCAGAGTGGTGTAATAACATGGGCTTTTAATTTATTTATTAGACTACTATCCTGCCATTCCTCCCTCTCCCCTTGTTCTCACAATAGCCTTCTGCTGTACATTAGGCTAAGGAATTGTGATTTAGGTCCCTCAGTAAGGGCCATGCTAGACATGAAGTAAGTAGGTCTTGTGTTGCTTTCCTTTCACTGTGAACAGCAAGATGGATTGACGATCTGATTCAAATAAGGACCATGGTAGGGGTGAATACCCTCTCCCCATAGTCCTGATTCAGCCCCCACCCCACCACTGGCTGTTAGTTAAGGGGGAGGGGAGGAAGAAGCCCTGCAATAAGAGCAAAGCTACCACAGAAAAAGCTATATATGTCTCCTGCCTTTCACCCAAAAACTTGAAGCAGAATATTTGTTTTCCATTTCCTTCCTACAAATACCTTGTGAGGTATTGTGGCTATGCCACAAATCCCCTTTCATGAACTGCAGGCCAGATTTTTGTCATGTAATTTGGTCCTGAACAGTTATGATCCCTAGCTAGCAGGACCAGTAGTCAGAGATGATGGGAATTGCAGTCTCAAAACATCTGGAGGGCCGAGTTTGAGGAAGCCTGTTCTAGAGCATCACAGGCAGCATGGTTGCAGCATTGGCTGAATTATGCTAGATGAAATCAACAAAACCCTTTCCTGTACTGAGGCTTCGTCAATAAGTTTTGGGGGCAGCTTTTTCAATTAGGTATCTTTGCAGCAAGAACCCACAGCTTACAGTAGAAAGGTGGAGTTGGCTAAAATGAGGTAGCTTTGAAATTGGGATTTGGAGTACCCAGAGCATCAGATGCAAGAAAGGGAAGGTGGGCTGCACACAAAGGACATTAGACTAAATTGTTAAGTGGGAGGGAGGGATTTATCTGCTCCACTGGCAATAGCTAGCTAGCACTCAGCATGGATTTTTTAAAAAAAAAATGTAAAAGGGATTAGTTCCTTTCCATTTTGCTACCAGAATGAACTCTGTTTCATTAATGTAAGTTGAAATGAAACTCACTTGTGGGTTAGAAGAAGAAGAAACAGATTGTTTGCTAACAGAAGAAAAGTTTTAGTGAGAGCAGCACATCCGCAAAAGCCTGAGCCACTAGGTTATTACAATAATCATACCATTTATAAGACACTGAAAGAGTGTTCAAAGCACATGACATATTATCTCAGTGACTCTTAAAAAGCAACTTTATGATGTAGGCCAGTATTAGGATCTGCAAATGTTTGTGTTGAGCTTAGTATTAGTACTGTCAATGTCTACCTTTCTGCTTCCTGACTCACATGCAAGCTGTCAGACAAAGTGGCATTTAATAAGCATATTTGTAAGTGGCAATAAGAGTTGTGATTGTTGAGCTTTTTTTTAGGAAGACCTCAATTTTTATTTTTTTACAAACCCCAGAGTTTTCCACTTGACTTGCCTATGAAGACAAAGCGCCGCCTTTCAGAAATTCCCCCCAGACATCAATTCCGCCTTTGAAATCCCAGTAATGTCCTGGAAAATCCAGTCGTGGGGTAGCCCTGCTTGTGATAGAATGGATCTAAGTTCTGATAGAATAATATAAGAGTAGTCTACAGCTTGAGTGTTAAAGTAATGCTTTCCATTTGTGAATTGACAGAGTACGTTCAACTAGAATAATAGAATTGTAGAGTTGGAAGAGATCCTGAGGGTCATCTAGTCCAACTCTGCAATGCAGGAATCTCAGCTAATCTTGAATGCATCTTTTGGATTTGAATTCTAAGGAACTCTTAGATTCCATGCATTTTGTGTTGCCTGAAAAACACTCAGCAGGCAGCAAATGCATCAAATGTACATCACAACATAGTACATTCTTAGTAAAAACCTTATAATGGCATTGAGAATTCCATTTTGTAAAATAAAATGAAAAACATTTATAACTGGAAAGGGTACCTTTTCTGTTAGTGAGGAAAAAATTACATGGAGGTATATAGATTGTGAGGTTCTTTAATTTCCATTACTCTGGGAAAATAATTTTTACCACCACCTTTCTCTGATTACCTAGCATAACAGCAAATTTACTGCAGCAATTCTAGCAAGCTGCATGGCTTGTGCATCCCTTCTCGTTGTTTAGTGGCTTCTGCAGAATGAAGTGTCTTAGAATATCATCATTTCATGACAACAGCTGAAATTACAGTCAGAACGCATTAGGTTTAAAGCCATGGATTTCATACTTTTTGCTTTAACGCAGTCCTTCTCATATTACCTTTTCTGCTGAGGATATTCTGCATATCTTCCATTAATGGGTGTTGCAGAGCATTCTGGGAAGTATTCTGAGGTGCGCAGTCAGTTTAGCCAGGGCACTAACCTAGACATTGGGCCTCATAGTTACCACACGTGAAGGGAATGTCTGTCCTATAACAAACCCAACATTCTTCTTTGGATGCTTGTTGCATGCAAGGGAAGCATGTTGTAGTAGGCAAGCTTTTACGGGAGTCCCCCATATTACAGATTTTTCTCAGTGCAGAACCTCTCTTTTGCTTCCAAGGAACCCCCAGGGTTTATTTGGAACATAATTTGAACAAGGAAATAGCATTATTCCTAGCGCGCGCGCGCACACACACACACACACACACACAAATTGTCCTGGCTTTTGGAATATAACTAGATTGGAGCCTAACAGTTAAAGGTTTATTGTTCACTATGTTATGTTTTAATAGTTGGATTTTGTTGATGTTTTAGTTATTGTTGTACTGTATTTCTATTTTAATGGTGGTTGTTGGCTGCCCCGGGCAGGATATAAGACAAATGAATAAACACAATATTTTATTTTATTTGAATGCAGTTCTTTTTTAGGATATGCATTTGGTTTCTTTTTTGAAAAAAATAGTAATCTGTATACTGTTCACTTCTGTTTCTCAACTTCTTTCTGATCTTTTATTTCACTGATGATTCTTCCCCTTATTTGTTTCTGACTTTTTCTGACTCCTCCATTTTAAAGAAAGCCCTTCTCAGGCATTGTGCTGCTAGTATGTTAGGCTTTATTTGTTTTGGCAGTGAATACAAAAATGTTCTGGAATCCTGTTCTCAGGCTCAGACACACAGCTAATAAATTATCCTTGCCTCCAATAGATGGAGCCGAACCATTCCCCACAACACGCAGGAGAGAACTACAGGAGGGCAAGTACTGCGAGGGAAATCTCTTGAGAAAGCCAGAACTTGAAATTATTTCCCCCTTGCATGCGTTTGCTTAAAACACTCAAGTCTGGGCATTTCAGTTTAATGAATTAAACTGACGACTTATTTGAAAGCTTCCAAGCTGCATTACTATGTTTAGGAATCGTTGTTTTAGAAACCAGATCTATTTTTGTATAGATGCTTAGCATATGACAGCCCTTCCCTGGGTTTTTTTCCCTACAGGAGAAAGAAGATTCTTTTATACAAGCAAGCCTTGTGCGTAACTTGAGTGTTATTGCTATTTTAGCTGTTTAGTGTAAATGTGTTTATAATTCTTTGCAAAAGATGGACTAGGGATTCTGACATAAGTTAAATTCAGAGACGGGAATTTGTAGAGGCAGAGAAATAAAAAATGGAGTTACTTATACAGTTGATTACAGTAAGAATTTAACTGAAGGAATACAGTTTCTACAGAAACAAACAAATTGAGAAGAGATTTTTTTCTTCTACACAGAGGAAGAATGTCAACAGTGTTGTGTTTAAAATCTGTTATGTGTGCAACTCTTGCTTTAGTCTTATTCTAAAACAGTAGAAGGCAACATTCCGGCTCAGTAGAAAGTTTTGATTCCTCCTCCCCACTTCCTTTTGTTTAAATAGTTGAAGCATCTGGCTTCTTGCACATTTAAGAATTCTGTGACACTTTAATTATTTATAAAAGGATTCTAGCAGAACAGAAAAATCCTGGTCTCTCTTGTTTTCATAACATTTTTTTAAGATGTGGTACTTTGCTGCATTTTGTGCAGCTTTAAGCATATTACTGAAGCAAAGAGGTTGAAAGTACAGAGCTCTTTTCACAGTGTTTTTGGTCCTTAGTGATGATGAAAACATTTCATATTTAAAACAAAGTAGGTCACTTACCCGTGAAACAAAATGCAGATGCAACAGGCTGATGCTGTCTTTATGATCAGATTGATGAGGAAAGTAAGTTTTAATGCATACTTGGCTTCCTGTGTGTGGTGACGTGTTCAGTTCGAAAACTCAGACAACAAAAAACCACAGTTCTTCTGTAGGAAACAGGAACTTGGTTTCATGTAATTCAAACCATACACGTTGCAATTTTAGCCCGCGTATGGCTCCATCATGTGACTTTAAAGTTTGAGTTGACCTACACAGAGTGATGTTTGGGTACTCCAGAACAGAAAAGTAGTGTTTAGTCATATATTTCTGAGTCTTTGAGGCCATCCAGTGGCTTCTCGGTTATTTTAAATCATGAAGCCATTCTACCTCTATTCACTAATACTGGAAGTATGTTTTCACATGTCCAGATGTTTAGCATTTTCAAAATGCTGCAGAAGTAAATATCAAATAAAAATATTTTATACAAGTAGGACCTGCACCAAAATATTATCTTATGGAGTGCTTCCTGTCCAGGATTCCAGCCAGTCCATTCCATTCACCCCTCCTCTCCCCTGATCTCCCTCCCACTAACAGTCAGTCAGCTTTCCATGCCCACTAAACGTGCTCAGTGATTTGGCTGTTGTGAAAGTTCATTTCCCATTTTTTGAAATATATTTTTATGCTCCTTGAAACCTCTGAGTTCTCTGGCCTGCTGATAGTTCCCTCTTACGCGTAAGCAGTGTTGATTAGGCTGCATACGGACTAGAAGAAGTGAGATCGCTAGAAGTATAAATGGTAATGATTAAAACACTCACACCCTTACCTCTCCCCCCCTTCCAGAAGCTGATGCTGAATACTTTGCCTAGAATCAAAAGTTTGGAAATAAAGATTCCTACCTTCTTGCTGGGTTTGGAGGCATAATTGTGGTGTGTCCATGAAATAGCTTGTCCAAAATACCCTATGCATTAAGAGGTTATATTTAAGACAGGGTTTCCCAAACTTGGGTCTCCCAAGCTATTTTTGGACTACAACTGGAAACCCAAGTTTGAGAAACCTTGGTTGAAGAGATAGTCTATTTAATCTGCTCACTACTAACCCATAGTGTGCAAGATGGCTGAATACAATTGTAATTAATGATAATTCTAAACATTTTAATTTACACAGTGCTGTAATTTTCATGCACATTTCCCTCTGACAGTTACTGTTGCTATTCAAAATTGAATGAGGAAGAAAAAGTGGGCATTCTTTTCAAATGTGGTTTCTCTTGAACATTTATTTTTATAGTCTCAATTTGATTCAGTTGAACAATCATAGGATACGGTCATATGAGCTCAATAAGAAAGTAAACTTTATTCGGATAGCACACAAGGGGCTGTTTTAGTGTGAGTTTTTTTGTTTTTTTCAGTGGTTGGTCAACTGATTTAGGGCTAACTTTCTGCAGTTCTAGGAGGTTGCACTCTTTATTAAAGCGAGCATTCAGCAAATTTAAGAGTTTAAATCATTTGCGACTTGGGTGCATAATCATTATGAGAAGCCTGTAGCAAACAGACAAGTGTTTGAAATATAAAGACTTCCTAGTTAAGAAGGAGCTTCTGCATCAGCTGACAGCCCTTACACCCCTTCTGACAATGAGGTGGCTGAAAACAAAAATCACACTCTCAAAGAAATGATGTGTGCTCAATTACAGACACACAGTTGTCTGATGCATTATTGGAGAAAGCCTTAACAATGGTTAATTACACTCAGAACTAGCTGTTCACAATTGCAACACCATTTGGGCTTTTTCTGGTATGAAACCTAAGCATGGGTGTAGCCTGGAATTTTGTTAGGGGGGACAGGACTTTTGTTAGGGGAGCAGAACCAATGTGATTTGTCAGTGAGTATTTCTATTGTTTTACTTGATATGGGGGTGGGCAGCTGCCCCTCTGGCGCCCCCCCCCCAGGCTACACCCATGAACCTAGCCTGGGGCATTTGAGAGTGTTTGGTTGCACAGCATGGGTGCACATCCTGGCTGAAATGCACACCAAGATGAGTCCCAGGGGAAAACTGGGTGTATTCCTCAGTTTTGACAACAACAAATAATAATAATAATAATAATAATAATAATAATAATAATAATAATAAAAATTATAATAATAATAACCATCCTGCCCATCTGGCTGGGTTTCCCCAGCCACTCTGGGCAGCTCCCAACAGAATAATAAGAATAAGAATAATAAGTGATAAAACATCAAACATTAAAAACTTCCCTAAACAGGGCTGCCTTCAGATCAAATCAAATCAAAGGTTACTGGGTCTGCTTGCCTAAGCAAATAAAGATGCTTGTCAATAAGAGTGTCAGCTTTCAGGAGCAGAAATGTGAAAATTGTAGAATAATTTTCAAGGTTTTTCTCCTTGTGAGCAGCGGTGTAGCTAGCCACTCGTGTGCCCAGTGCGGTGCGAGCATCCTGCAGTTGGAGGCGGGGTGAGCTGCGTGGAGCCTCTGGCCACCTCCCCCTCAGCTGTAGGGCGGCTGAGGGAGAGGCGGTAGGCAGGTGCAAGCCCCACGCTACCCTTTCAGGCAGCATGGAGCCTTCAGGCGCCCAAGCCATCACATCACTCCCAGGAAAGACGCGTGGCTCAGGCACACTGCAGGCCCTGCGGTGTGGTGCCCAGTGCTAGCCACGTTTTGTTACGTTTCTTGACTGAACTAAAAAGTTTAGTGAGCCCATTTTTTTCTTAAAAAAACAACAACACTCATATTTTTGTCACTCCCCTCAGTGATGACCCCTGGGGCAGCCCGCACCCACCACACCCCCTTCCCCCACCACTGCTTGTGAGTGATGATACACAGACAAGTGCCTCTCCCCTTCCCCTGCTCTGATACTCTCTGGACTATTCCTCTGTAGCCGCACATACTCCACTGATCACACTGGTCAAGGTATGCTATCATAATGCTATAACAGGTGGCTGCCTTGTGCCTCGTTCAAGCTGAGCAAGTTGCTGGAGCTTTGTGCAAGTGATGCAAAAAAGTTTTGCAAAACCCTAGGAGCCAGTGCATTTTCTGGGAGCCAGGCTAGAAGCAGAGAGAAATGGAGACCTGAGCATGCCAATGAGAAAAGGGATCCTGGTCTCACTAGTGCATTTTGCTCTGCTCCTCCACCCCCCAACCCCGACTTTCAGATAAGGTCAAGTAGGGAAGTGCTAGACCAGGCATAGGCAACCTTGGTCCTCCAGATGTTTTGGGACTACAACCCCCATGATCCCTAGCTAACGACCAGTGGTCAGGGATGATGGGAATTGTAGTCCCAAAACATCTGGAGGGCCGAGGTTGCCTATACCTGTGCTAGACCTCAAGCTTAGCAGTGTTAAAGTGGTAACCTAGGTGCTCCCAAGTAAGGCAGGCTGGTACTATGGCTCTGTAGATAGCTCTGCATTTTGTTGTTAAAGCCTGTGTTAATGTGCTTCTTATATCAAACATAATGGCCCAGCAGAATGGTCTCTGCTATTGTAATTAAAGGTGTCTTTGAAGCAGGCAGTGTAGTGTGGAACAGACTTGTTTAGTGGGTTCTGTACCTCAACTTCCTCTGAGGTTTCAGCACGGATTAGGAGCATAATGTGAACTCAAGACCTCTTGAGTAAAGGGGACAGGGCGTGGCGTCTGCTAAAGGCACAACTGTGGTATAACTGGTTGAACCCTTGGGCCTAATTGTAACTGATAAGACTTATGCAAGTCATTATATTTGTTCCTGCTGCATATGTAGAGTATATGGATGCGATTTATTTAGCTAAATTATAGATAATCAACCTGAGGCACTAAGAGGGAAGTGGTCTGTGGCGCTGCAGGACTGGAGCAGAAATGTAGATCTACTACAGTATTAATAGGCATTATTATTTTCTTACTATTTAAATTATTATTTACTGCAGGACTTCTGTTTCATTAATTTCCATACAGCAAGCACATATAAAAATATATGTATACAGTGTACAAAATATTGTGTTATCACTTGCAAAAGAAGTGTGTATGTTAATGTTTCAGCTTCTGTGCATGTTTATGTTATTGTTTGCTTACATTATCTGTTTTGTTACTACTTAACTGAAAACCTCAAAAACAAATTTTTAAAAA